AATCTCGAGAAGACTGATGAGTGGATCAGCTGGACCAAGATGTTGCAAGAATGGAGTGAGGAGGAGCTGACGATGCACATTCACAGTGGAAGAATCTCTGAAAGGGAGTGCCCAGACACACCTGGAGTTTGGGAATTCAAAGACAACAACAAGGTGAAGACAACCAAGGTGTTGGGCAGAGATAAGCAGCTCAGCAAATCTTCCAAGAGCCAGCTCAAGCCAGAGACCAAGGAGGACGATGATGATGACTGGGACAAGGCTTGGACTGCCTTTGGCTCAGCATCCAGCTTCAATGACATCCAGCTGTTTGGCACTGGTTCCAGCATTGCCAAGGGCAAGGGGAGCATGAAGGGTAAGACTTCCAAAGGCATTGGCAAGAAAGGAAAAGCAAACAAAGATGATGAGGAGCAGGTGACCAAGAAACAAATCCAGTGGCTGAAATCTGCTTTGTCCAAAGCCATCACTGTCGTGGGCTGCAAGGCATTTGAAACCACAGATGGTGACAAAAGAGGGCACGCAGCCAAAGCAAAGGGTGAGCTGGAAGAGATCCTCTCCAAAGTGTCCGACAAGGGCGATGTGTGGGAGCACAAGGAGTTCCAGGCCATTCAGCAGAATGCCAAAGAGAAGATTGCCTTGTGCAAAGAAATATTTGGCTGAGAGGCTAGGATAGCAGCTGGAGTAGAAATGCTGCGCACCAGAGACCGATCTGACTGAGAAAACAATGGCGTCTGTGCCAGCTGCATAGATTGCTGGCACGCATGTTGAGGATCTGGTTTGCCAGCAAATATTTGGCTCAAGCAAAGGGCAAGGTTAGCAGCATGCTGTCAGTTGAAGAACTTGCCTTGCTGGCAGATTATAAGATTTGCCTGTCCTGTTGGCTGTGCCAACTGGAGCCATACCTGCCAAGGAGTTCATGCAAGCAGCCTTGCTCATGCATGTGTTTTCATGAATGTGTTTTCTTTGCATGCAGGACTGAGTACTTGAAGCTGTGGCAGATTTGCAAAGACTGTCGGTGTGAATTCGATGAAGCTGAGCCTCCAGAATTGAGTTTAGCATCAGTTGGTGTAATTCGACTGCAGACCATTGCAAAGGAGCCGACAGATGACCCAGAGATGCAATAGCCAAGGCGCAGCAAAGGAAAAAGTGCAGGTTGTGAATCTGTTGCGCTGCAGAAGTGCATTCCAGCTTATAGCTAGTATAGGATCATGCTGCAGCCGATAAGCATCATGCCTGGGTACAAGCAAAGCCTGGGGTGCTTGCGCGACCCCAAAGCAGCCAACACAGATTCAGAATCAGTGTTGCAGACTCACTTGCTTTGGCTGTGGACTCTTGGTGACATCTCTGCCATTGCTTGCCAGAAAATAGCACACAGTGCTTTTCTGGATGGGCTGAAGCACCCTGCCGTGGCCAAGGTGGCCAGCTGTGGCTCCTGGGGACAACACCCCAACAATGTGTCCAGGGATTTGGAGAGGATGGTGGTTTCAGAAAGCAAGGCATCCTTTGCAGAGCCCACTATCATCAAGGATTGCCCTTGCTCCAACCCCAGGACAAGTGAGGAAGAGACCACTGACGTTGCTTTTTTTGACCCTTGCAACACTGTGGCAGCATTGCAGGAGAGCCCAGAGCATTTCCAGAGCATTTTCCAACCAGATGGCCTACATGAGTTTTGGAACAATGTTAGGCCTGATGACCCCAGGCTTACCATACTCATGCAGGAATCCAGCTTAAAGCATGAGGACCTACCAGCAACAGTCCCACTCTGGGTTCATGGAGATGGTGTGGAGTATGCCGATGGCAAAACTATGATGGTGTATTCCTGGGGCTCTGTCTTGAATTCAGGCCCATCATTGAGCTCATCTCTCTTGCTGCTGGCCTTTCCCAAAGATTGTGCAGTGAGTGCAACCTGGGAGACACTGTGGTCACATATTGTTCCTTCATTCTCTAAGCTGCAGGCAGGAAAGACTGACATTGTTCACAATTACAGGTTTACAATCTGGCAGGTCATGGGTGACCAAGAATTTTTTGCCAATGTCCTGAAGCTGCCACATTGGATGAACGCACAGCCCTGCTGGGAGTGTAAGATGACTGGCCCTCAGCAGCAGAGCAACCTGGACAAAGACATTGAAGGCTGGAGGCTACCTCAAGAAGAAATGAATTGCAGGATCTCAGCACACCCACTCTTTACCATTCATGGAGTATCCCATTTCAATATTGCACAGGATGCAATGCACATCCTGTTTTGCAAAGGTGTTCTTTCTCATTGTATGGGCAATGCGTTGAAGTTTTGGTGCTACACTTGCAAGGCTGTGCCAGGAAGAAGCATAAGGGACAAAGTCAAACATATTTGGCAAAAAATACAGTCGCTCTACAAGGACTTTGAAGTGGATTGCAGGCTGCCCACATTGAAGCTATCCATGTTCACCAGCCCCGACAAGCCTCATCAGACCCAGCCTTTCCTTAGGGCAAAAGCTGGGGAATGCAAAGCATTGGTGCATCTGTTTGCACAACTGGCAGTGGAGTTCCATGAAGGAGATGAAGTCTCCTCCAAGATCCTGGCTATCTTTGAAGACATGGCAGCTTTTGTAGATTTGATGGATGCAGCTCCCAGGTTTCCAAGTGAGCAAGAGGCCTGCCAGGCAGCCTTTCTGATGACTTCCTTTTTGGGGCATTACAAGTGGCTGCAGCTGCACAGGTCCAATGACTTCACCTGGCACACAGTGATCAAATTTCACATGGCCAAGCATTTGGCCCTTGCTTTCAGGTTTGGCAATCCCAGACACGCATGGTGCTTTAAGGCTGAAGACTATGTGGGCAGAATCAGCAAGCTTGCACACTCAGCATCGTTTGGCACAACAGCCACTTTGCTTTCTGTTAAGATCTTGAAAAAGTATCGGCTGATGATGTATGTCAGGTTCTGGAAGGGGCTGCTGTGACACAGAACGTTAACATATTTCGCCAGGCAAAAAAAGAAGTGGTGTGCTGCATGTGCCCTGCAGAAGGGCAAATGAGATCCTTAAGTTCTTGGACATGTCAAGTTTTTGTGCAAAAAAGATTGATATTTTGCAAAAAAAGATTGATATTTTTTTATATATTTTCTCAGGAAAAGATTGATCTTCCTTGATGTGATTGGGAACACAAAAAACAGCTATAAAATGCAAAGATTGATCTCCAAAAAGATTGATATTTTTTTATAGAAAAAGATTGATTTTTTTTGATCCTGGATCCTCTGGGTTTCAAGATCACTGGTATCTCGCCCTAACGGGCTAGCGATCGACGGACGATCTTCGATCCCGAGTGCATCGGCAAGCCGACCATCTCTGGCACCTGTCCTAACAACATCGGCAGCCCGCTCAGTGATCCTCGGTGAACCAGTAACCCGGTTCGAGTTCACGTCTCTCTGACTCAACGGACCTCCAAATGTGATGTTGGGAAAGGGGGGGACATTCGGGGAATCACCAATCGCCGGGGGACCTACCGGTCCCTCGCGGTCATGAATGGCCTCCAATCCCCGAAGAACTTCCCGACTGTCCCTGGCTCTCTCTCTCTCGCTTCGGGCATCCCTGTCAACGCGAAGGTCCCTGGCGGCTCCACGAGAGAGGCTCCTGGGCCTCGCAGCATCACGGATCCTAGCATTTCGTCGTGGTTGGTCCTCCTCCTCATCACGGCGATCCGCAAATGCGGCATACTCGTCATCATCATCGACCTCAAACTTGGCAGCGGCGGGACTAGTCCTTGCAGTCTCACGGCTGCCTGCATCTCGGCGCGAATGGCTCTCCTCCTCATCCGCAAAATTGTAATCTTCGCCATCATAAGACTCAGATTTGGCAGTATTAGGGTTGGGCCTACCGGCATCAGATCCCTGCTTTGAGCTACTGCCCCAACCTGCGGTTGATTTCAACAGATCATCGTATCCGAAGTCCGTGAATTTCCGCTCCTCGTGCTCATCAAACTGACCTGGATTTTGAGAACCAGTGGATCGGCCCGGGATACCTCCCGGAGCCAGAACCATAGTCCCTGGTCCCTGCGGCCTATTCTCAAACTCATCCGAGACCTGCGACTCACCTGGAACAAGAGATCTCGGAGGTCGAATCGGCATGGCCTCCGGGTCATCCGAATGAGGGCGGGCCATGTCCATCGCCATGCTGATGAAGTCAAAATGTCCACGCCTATGACCTGATTCAGAGCCACTCCTACCGGAGTAAACCCTTCGTGTCTGCTCGTCATCAGTGGCCTGGCGGAAAATACGATCGTCTCCACCGTCGGCGTACCTGCCACGGCTCCTGGGTGTATCCCTACCGGGATCTTCACCCCTGCGGTCCTGACCTGTTGAACCTGCTTCGAAATCCTCGTAGTCATAGTCCGGCAGGTCCTCACCTGAGCGGAGGCCACCTAGGATGGCCTCCTCATCCACGACACTCCTGCGAGATCGTGGGGTCGACATAGAGCTTGTAGTTGATGGTCTCAAGCGCGTAGGAAAGTCCTACGGCTGATAACCTGTGATTCGGGCACGAGCCTGTGCCCAGGCAATGGGTAAGTTGGGGTAAACAAGCCACAAAAGAAAGGTTCCCCAAAAGCAAACCAATCCCCGGTCCCAAAGATCAGGGTTTCCCACACACCAGAGAACAACAACCAAAGGAAAACAAACCAAACAAGAAAAGGGTTAACCCGCAACCTTGGTCGACAACAGGCCGCACGACTGGTCCCTACCAACCTGGCGGCGGCCCGAGGTCTCTTTCTCCCCCGAGATGCCGTCGGTCGACGCAGGGGTTCGGCGACGCCCATTCGAGGCGCGACGGAACCCAAAACTTGAGCCAAAACACCACAGGTCGGTCACTAACGCGACGTTCCTGATGATGATATGAACCATGGCTAATCACATTATGCTTGTTTAAAGTTGCTTCTTGGTTTCTTCTTTTTTCTTGGGGGGACCCTTTTTCTAGCTTTAGAAGAACCAAGCAGGAAAACCCAGACAAACCCCAAAAAAAACGCGCAGGAGTGGCTGGTCCAGGTTCTGCACCACCCGCTGCCGGTCCGAAACCGACGCGGCGGAAAGGATGCCGCTCAGCATATCGCGACGCTCCCGCCAGGGGCGGTCCAAGTTCAGGACCTAACAACACGCAAAACCGAGCGCCGGTTCAAAAGTCAAGGTCCAAATGGGTTGTTTTTTTTGTTGAGACTACCCGTTTTTGTGAGTTTAAAGAACTAAGAGGAAAAACATAACTTTGGAGGGGTCGTCAAGAATAAGATACTTCAAATAAGTGTGTGTCCTCAAAAAACAACGAACTGGCTCCCTGCGCATGTAGGAAATAACCCTTCTGGATTCCCATCATATTGATTCGTCACTTCCCCAAGGGTATCACAGAAAGTTGCCCTAAAGCGCGGTTTCCATGGCCAATGTATCCTAAGTAAACCAGGGGTCAGAAAGAGGCCTCCGATGTCGGAAAAAAGGGCCCGCCTGCTGGAACAGGAACTCCACTTTCTCCGACTCAAGCCTCAGCAAGTCAGAAGGTGCGTGTCGTCAAAGACCGAAACCGCAACCTGGACTGGTTTCAATCAGCTGGCTAAGGTGCATACAGGTCTGCAAACAGACCGACATATCAACGGGATGTTCTGGAGCGGACGCTGAAATGCAACACCAATCTAAGCCCACACAACAGTGCTTCAAAGGGCTCTCTCCCTCCAAGATGGTACCTGACCGAGGAAATTTATTGTCGAGGTACCCTGAGGTGCTGGAAAGACCAAATGCCCTCAGAAGACGACACTGACGACACCCCCTCGGCATGTTTCGCTGATATCGGCAAATCGAGCGGAGCGGCTCCACACCGATGGCCACCATCTGTGCTGCAAGCAGCGCGAAGCGCCGGAAGTTGCGATGCCCCGGCGCACGTGTTGGGTTCCTCAGCGAGGAACCCGCCCAGGTCTGGTGGCTTCAGGAAACTTGGGTATACAACCTTAAGGGCTTGTGTTGCATTCTTTAAAAATAAAAAAAAATAAAACAATTGAAAATTGGAGTGTATGTCAGTGCACCCTTTGTATTGTTTTTTCAGACCAGCACAACATACACATATGTAATACATATATTAATATATATATATATATATACAATGTGGCATGGCTTGAGGAAGCTGGCTTCTTCCTGGGCCTTCGTGGGCCTTAAGCACGGGCACCCAGTCTCGTTGCGCAAGCAAGCTGGGCACTACACTTGACCCACAAAATGACATCAAGAGCAACAAGCATACGGGTGCGTCTGATTTTGGAGGAAACTCTCCCGGACCGCCCCGCAAGCCAACAAAAACAAGGCACCCTCAGAAAAAGACATAGCCATGCACGTAAGCGACTCTAGCACAAGAAGCCGACGGCCTACTCGAGACCGATATCCACACGCGAAATCGATAGGATGCAACAGCAATCTACACCCGACAGGTAGGTACAACATGGTAGGACAACAACTTGGTTACCCTCCCCAAAATAAGCATAGAACCTGCGCAGGGGTCCTGGAAGAACATGTTCCTATTAAGGGACCCGTTTTGGGGAGGGTAAGCGCTTCAAAGGAGCAACTCTTGAAAGGCCACGAATCAACAGCTCAACCCCAGAAGGAAGCCTCTGAAGGTGGCAACGTGAAGAAACTGTTTGACGCAGCCTTTCGTAAGTCAGTGGCTCTTTCTGCTTTGTACCAAGATGGTTGTCGACATGTCCTTTGGGCCGTCGCTGCGACTTGCATGTTTAGCCAGATATCAAATAGGGCATAGGGGGTCTGGACACACCAAGAACATGAGCTTCCTTTTGAGAAAGCTAGACACATATTATGCCATCGAGTACCGAGCAACTAACAATGTCGGTTTGGCAAACCCGAGCTCCATAGGTTGCTCAATGGAGGTGAACCAAATGGCCGAAAGGTACCCAATATGGAACTTTGGCAAATGGCAAGGACTAAACCCTGCAGTCCTCTGGCTGAATTTTGACCCATACCAAAACAGCCATCGTCTCCGGAGACAGGCACATCAAATCAATGGTCCAAACTCTTGGGCTTCGTTTTCGAGGAAGCCTGACATGAGTTTCAAGGAATACCCTCCAAGTCACTTCCCCTTGGAGTTAATTGGCAAAAAACCGGTAACCAAACTTGATTGTTTGCTTTTCCAAAACCCAAGTCTAAAGTTAAGGAATCTCAGGGAGTGAGCCAAATGGTTGGTGGAGAAAAAATACCACCGAACTTTGATGTCCTGAGGGTACCCGATTATACAGGGGTCGAGCAAACCAGCGAACCGCCGGAGCATAGATCACTGGATCAAAACCTAGTTGCCCTTTTTTGAGGGACCCCAAACATAAAGGAAAAACAGTCTCGCTTGCCCGCAGCACCTGGAAATAAAAGGCTAACCTTTTGGGGCCATAACGGGGCACACCTAAAAATGTCAGCTGTGGGCAACTGGCCAGTCTGATCCCCCTGGGGTTCAACCCCCTTTAAAACAAAGGGGGTTAGGACTCGACCTTTGTTTTGCTTGCTCGACCTTTGTTTGTATAGGGGCTTGGTGTAAAGCCTGGTTTAAGCAACATGGCCATATGGAAGTGGCCCTTTGGACTAACATATAAAGATAATACGCTGATCAGTTGTGAAGTTGAACCATGGGGTCGTTTTTTCAGCAGCTCAGCCAGCAATGACGGCTGAGACAGATCATGTGAATTTGCTGGCGGCCAAGCATCCCAGCGTGACATAATCATGAAGAGTGCCAGCTTTAAAAGCTACAGGATGCAACGTTGGTACACAGCGTGGTTTTCGATGCTATGGGTGTCGTAGGGGCCCTATGGCTGAAAACACACAGGACTTTCTGAGCTAAAGAGTTTCCTTCGCGCTCACACGCCATTTCGTTCCGATGGCTGCGATGATTAGATGACTGATCGTGCTTGCTAGCTGCGTTGACTATGCGTGTAATTCATGACATTTGGATCTATAGAGCTCCTGCTTGCTTTTCATGCCCCATGCAGCCCGAAGGCATCAGAAGGCCATGTGTGCGTGCGTGGGCTGGGTGGCCCTCAATTGATTGGCTGGGCGGCCCGCCCGTGAATTTGCATTTGACTATTATTTATGAACGTGATCAATATGAGCCGCGTACTCGAGTGCTATGCCACGCAAGCACGCGTGCCCAGCCAGCTTGCAGCGCTGCAGTATAGGAAGCTCGTGCGTGATGAGCGTGTCGCTATACTATCGGGGAATATGTCATATTTGCCGTGCGCAATCGGCATGCCAGTGCTCCAAGAGTATGGTACCATGAATCTACTGTGAAACTACCGTGAACTTTTCGTGAACCGCCTTTATTCTGCGTGAACCCCCTTTGTTTTGCGTGAACCACGCACACCCCAAAACCGATGTTTTTCCGTGATACCTGAGCTCGTGAGTCAACCCGTCCGCCCTGAGTGGCTCGTCCGACCGGATCCGGACCCACAGCAACTTGTCTCCAGTGTTTGGCTGAGCTCACCTAGTATTTGCAGCAGTGCATCTTACTGAATTGAGTTCTTGGTAGTCAACTGTGCCTTTCAGGGAAACCCCAAGAATGACTCACTGCTTTTTTGGATTCAGATGCAATGTCCTGGACAAAGCGCTACTTCGTTCAATTAGCACACAGTTTGTTTTGAATCGCAGTGTTGCCCTGATTTTTTCGTTGATTCTTCATCGGTTGGGCGCACACAAGGTGTCTACAAACATGCTCATGCGACTCGCCGGATAAAATTTATTCTTCGAACTCGCAAACTTAGGCTGCTTGGTAGGATGTTTGATTGCACCGCGTCGCTAGTGTTTTGTGCTAGTAGCAGTCGATAGCTTTGCAGGCTATTATCCACCAAGCTAAAGATCAAAAAGCACCTAGACTCAATTAATAGGGAACGGATTTCAAGTGCTCTACCCGCGCAAGGCTGAATGCGTCAGCTGAAAGGCGGTTGGCGTGAACTCGCCGAGTGTAAAAAGGCATATTTGAACTAATTCTCGATTGATGAATTCATTTCTTGGTGCCAACCTGGGCGACCCTAAAAATACTCCTCCCTGCCTCGACGGTAAAAAGAAACGGGGTTCATAGAACCCCCTTTGTTTAAAAGGGGGTTTGAATATCAGGTAGAGGTGGGCAGAGCCGGAACTGAAGCACCAGCTAATAGAAAGCGCGCTTGTTATTCGTTGCAATGTCGCAACATAGTGGAGAACGCCCGCCGTTTGCAAACCGAGCGGCTCTACAAAGGCCTGCTGCCACAGCGTCTCCCGGATCCTCAGGCGGAAAACAAATGGCCGCGGGTCATGTTGCAAGCTCGGCACTTCAACATCCGGCCAGCGCGCCCTCTTTTTCTTGCGTTGCGCCTGCGCAGTGCATTCGGGGATACTCATCAGCCCACATTCTAAATGATCCAAATCAGGATGCTCAGATTTCCAAAATGCCACTTTGCGAACGTGTAGGGTCCTCCTTACGACCTTTCGCAAGGCCCTCCAAACGGGTCCAAAGAGGAAACCAAAAAGAAACAGGAAATTATTGGCATTTTTAGAGGTTTTACCATGGCCTTGTTTGATAGGTTTGAGTGAAGGGAAAGAAACAGGAACCCCAAAATCTGGACAAACTGTTGGCCCTCCAAGAAAACAAAACTCAAATCTGAAAAAATCCACAATTGCCCCAGAAAGTGTTGAACAATGAGTACAAGCATAACATGTCCCTCCCATTTTTTTAAACAAAAAGACGCCTCGTCAAGAACCAGAAGCCACAAACTCCGAACTCATGTTGCACGACGGAGCCCGCGGATTCGGAGCCTCCAGTGTCGAGTGCATCATTTGGCTATGAGTCAAAACCCCGTACCCCCAATGAACATCCCAATCCCCCCAAAAATAGACTAACATAGGTGGTGCAGGTGGTGCACCTACCCCAAAATGGTATCATTGGTGTTGACACGGCCATTTCGTGCGAGGCGCTCGCAGGGTGTGACGCAGTGCGGCAGGCGCCCCAGGTGCCGGCAGATCCCCGGCCACGCCGCCACGGAGATGGACTGCTGCACCTGACGCGCGTAGCTTCGTGGCAATTAACCCGGGGAAGTCCAGTTGCACAGCGAAAGCTGTTGGTACTTGATGGAAGGGAACAAACCCTCCAACAAATCCAAGGGAAATGTGTCCCACTACGAAAAGCTCACAAAACTCCGGTTTGTGTGGTATTGTTTGTTGCGGGGAAGGGGTTAATTGGGGACCAATTGGTGGACGTCCCAATTCAAAGGCACACAGTTCTTGACACCCAGAACCAGCCCCCCCTAAATAACAAAACCAAACCAATCCCCAGCGGGAATGTTTGTTGCGTTTACTTTTTGTGCGGGGGAAAAATATGAAGGGGAAAGGATTATTTTGGGACCCTTTGATCGACATCATTTAGGTGGAGATGTTGGCATTTCAGTGCTTGTTTTGCAATATGGATGCGGACATATGACACCATTTAAGCTCGTAAGGCAGTATATACCCCCTGTACAAGAATATAACCTCTATACCCCCAAAACCGATACCTGAAAATGCCCTTAGGACAGCTGAGGCACATAAAAAGTTGCGTCTAGATGGTGACAGAAGCATATCCGTCCTTCTGATTGTGGGTGGGGCCAGTAGGATACCATCTGGGGCCGGTCTGCAGAGCTTTAAACATGCTCAAACAGTTGGCTGAACATATCACTTTTGATCAGCACCTTGACTTAAAGCGGACCCCCTCAAAACAACAACAACACATTCCGTGGGTTGTTGGTGTCCCTTTCAATCCAACCAAAAGGAGGTTCCCAAAACATGACACACCCATCAATTCGGTTTGGTGTGGCATTGAGTGCTTCCAGTGGCCATTCTGGGTCCAAGTTTCCAGGGCCCAAACTTGTGTTTGCGTGAACTTTCGAGCAGAGTTATTGGTGTATTGACTCTTGTTTCTTCTTGCGTCCACCGACCACTTTTGGAGCAGGCTCCCAACTCACAGCCATATTTCTGGTGGATTTCCATGGGAAGTTTCGACAAGGCACCCATTATTTTATTCGTTGCGGGTAGTGGAGCTGACAGGCAAAAGCCAGACTCCTTTGATTCCCTGAGCTCGCAAGCCCGGCTGTTTTCATAGGGGTCCACACATTCCGAGGGGAGTCCAATTGTTCCTTGCTGAGTCGTCTGTTCGAGTGAAGCTCCTTGTTGGAAGCCGCAAACAGGGGGTGATCTCCTATCTTGATGGTTCGATACGGAATCACCGGGATATGGGAATGATCTCGGAGGTTCCCTTCAAAATCATCAGGGATAGCTCAGTTCGGAGTCATTCCAACAAAACAGCACTGGTCGGACATGTTGATGCTTCTCGCTTGCCCGGACCCAACACAAGAAGCAAAGCAGTGCCATCCAATACCCTCCCACAAACAGTACCATCTACCATCAACTGTCCAAACCTTGGCATATGAGAAAAGCTGCATGTTGTTTGCTGCCAGCCACTAAACATGTTCAGAACCAAACAACTACCAAACATACCAACAGCGAATTTAAGGTTCACAGTTTGGACAAGTGTCATATCCAAAAAGGGACTTCTGGGGGTTCCATGTTAGGCGGGAGGGACAACGTGAGGCGCTAAATGGGCAGACACGCCACTCTCGTCTGGTGTCTCAACTTGGTGTTCAAGTACCCCACCGCCATTGTTTTACAGAAGCTTCCCAGCTCCTTTGGGATTCCCTTTGGGTAAATCGAAATAGGGTTGCCATGGATCCCACCCATTGAGGCAGAGCGTTTAGGCAAGCCACAATGCTAGACAAAAATATTCTCGAGTTTCTGACCTCTAGGTTTTGCCCGGGATTTCCTTCGTCCACCAGCGCCTGGAAGCACCGGGTCAGAAAACGCGTCCCGGCTCGCGGGAATTGGATCGCACCCGGTTCAGTTGTCGAATTCCCCGAGCAAAAGGTCGAGCACCTTTTGCAAGAAGCCACATGGGTCAAAATCCGAATACCCCCAGTGAACATCAACCAATCCCCACTAAAATGGACTGAAATGGGTGGTGAATTCACCTACCCCCAACATGGTACCATTGCTTTTGACCCACAGCCACGTTTGCTCCAAAAGTTCCAAAGCAGGGCGAATAGGTCACAAAGACCAGCCATATTCTATACGAGTTTGTGTCCGCCTTCTGGTTACCTGTCTGTATTTCTGTATTTTGTTTCAGAACCCAGCCATGTTCCCTGGATGTTTGGTCACAAAGTCCATGAAAATGTCGACCCCCGACTAATAAACCTATTCTATTCATAGGGGGGTGTTCCCTCAAAAGCGATGAACCCCCATCGAAAAGAAACATCTCTCATTCATCTCCAGTAGAGAGGTTAGAATAAGGGTACCCTTTTTTTCTGTCTATTTTAGTAGGGGAACCCCCCCAAAAAAGGGTAAAAGGGCACTACTGGGGGACCTAGCCAGTATCTCGGAATACCGAGTTCGGTCTCTCGCCTTTGGCAGCTCCTCTGTCAGTGCCTGCTGCTTCCACTCCTGGCCGACATGGGGCCAATGGGCGGGGTTTGGGTGAGTTTAGCTGTGGGCTAAAGGGATCCAACCGGTGGACAATGAAGGCTGTTCAAACTGGAGTGTTAGAATTTCAATTCAGTGGGAAACCAATACAAACGGGGCACTTTCGTAACCCAAGGAAAGGATTTTGGCATTCAGGGTTCAACTGAACAGCCAGGAGTTTAGGTTTGGGGTTGGGTTGGGCTGGGTTGGCTGAAGAGTGGTTGCATGTTGAAACTCCTCGAACAAACTTGTGGCGCGGGGATCCCCTTTCAACCACTGCTTAGGGGGCCATGTTGTGTCACTTTAATTGGGCAGACAGTAGCCAGGGAGCCCCACACCGAAAACCCAAGCAAACGGCCAGTTTGTGAAATAACGGTGGTTGACAAGAGTGATAACTCAACCCCAAAACGGTTCAATGGTGGTCGAGTCACAAGCCAGCGCAGGGCAAACATACGCGAGGGGATTCCTGTCGCGTGGACATGGCCTCAACCGGGCTTGTCTCCATATCCCCAAACTGATTGGGTCCTGTCGGCTCCCCTTGAAGCCCCTCACTTGGCCAGTGACCAGCCCAAAAAAAGTGTTCTTTTTTTGGGCCACCACTAAAATAAAGGGAGAGCCACCAAGGAAAAAGGTGCAAAGTGTGTCCACTGGCGTGAGAAACGCGGAGGTTTCCAGAAAAGACACACCGAATCCGAAAAGTGGGTCATTGGCCACCTTGAGGAAATACTTGTTGCTCTCAAGCTGAGTTGGACCTTTGCGGGGATCGAAGTCTGCTTCGCAAGAAATCTGAATGCTCAATCAGACCTCAGCCGGTGTGATTGGCTTCCATCGGCTTAAGTCTGGAACAACGAGCACATATTCCCAGTGACAGGTTTCCTTTGAAGCCAACAAGGGAAATAGACGAAACACAGCACATCTTAAGCAAATGGAAAGTTTACGAGGCGCGCTTCCCCACGGGAACGCATCAGACTTCCAGCTGATTCTTTGTTGGGCAAACAATTCATCCAATTTTGATGCTAGTTGATTTTAAAGGGAACCTCCCTCCAAGTAAGCAAAAGGAAAGACATAAATAAAGATAGAAAGAAAGACAGTAAACAAATACTTAAGCAACCCACATCCTTTATCTGACAGCCACTAGAGAAGTCAACTCCGGATTCTCCGCTTCAATATAACAAACACAGGCCGTAGGTGAACCCCGCCTCCAGAACATCTTCGCAGAACTCGCCCAAGAACCCGCCCAGGAAGCTCAGCATGCACTCTTGCCTATTCAGAAATGCAAAAACCCAGCATCTGTCTGCGAGTGCGAACAGGAACGTGAAGGTGATCTTGGCTGAGGCTCGAGACAGGTTCCTCAAGGGCTGCGAATCAGCTGAGACCCATGAAAGTAAGTGCCAACCTGAAAGAGCCGGAACCGAAAATGACATTTGTGCAGCTGGGTCGCGGCACCCGGGAATCGCGCCAGTGGCGCATGGCGACAAAGCCATGCCAAATGCCGTGCCTCGATTCGGAGGGGAGCGGGGGGGGGGGGGGCTTGTGGAAATGTCTCAAACATACTGTGGACGGTTGCTAAATCCACTTGGCACCTTTCAGAAACCCCGGTTTCTGATGATTCCCCTGCAAATACCAGCAAATAACGGTTTCAACCATGGTTTCAAAGTGGTTCAGGATTTCATCCATCCACAGTAGGTGCCCTTTTGGGAATCTTCATGGCCCTTCTAGACTACGAAACAACCAGGTCAACCAGGATCATCTATGGTCCAAACAAAACAAAAAGGGCACCTATGGTCTCAAAGCTGCCCAGCTATGGATGACGGTCGTACTTGGCCGCGGAAACTACCTCCTTTTTCAGTGACAAAACCTGTAGCAGTAGGAAGACCAGCTGAGTTGACCGGGAACAAAAATTGAACCTTTTGGGCCTTGACTGCAACCATGAGACCTACTAAAAAGCTGGCCGGCTCAACAGGCAAGAAAAGGGACCCCAGGGTTTTGCCAGCCCGTTGCTTAAGCAAACTCCTTTTGAATGCCCTTTGCTGAGGTGACCAGATGTTTGTTGAAACATCATTTGCCTGTCACCCCTGCCCCCTGTACATACATTAAACAAACACTTGCCTCCGGGCCATCGTGAGACTGCCTTTTCCTTTGGCTGACGTCATGATTTTGACAAGCCCGTGACGCACATGTCGGCATCTAGGTGGCTTTCAAGCTGAAGTTCACTGCTTGGGAGTTTTGCCTAGAGACCTGACGATGGCTTTCCTCGAAAGGGGGTCCTGTTTCTGACAACCCTCCCCTCCCCGGTTCACTCCAGGCTTGGCCTGTGTGTGCGTTTTGGTTCTCACGTCTCATAAACCCAGTTGCCCAGTAACCCTTTTGAGTTGAGACCATTTTTTGTGAGCGAAACAAATCCCCCAACAACAAGGATCTCACAAAGGGCCATTTGTTTTTGATGAATCTTAATTACAGCTACTGAAACAAATGTCGTCTTTGGACGTTGAGCCCAGTTTGATCCAGGTTTTTTTTCCACTGAACTGGATAAAAGCGGGCGCCGCGAGTGCTGGTTCGGCACGGGGTGACTTTGGCTGGGATGGGTGTGGGAGACCTGCAGTGCACCCTTTCCTGGTGCCCCCCCAAACGGAGGGGTCTCCAACTGTCTCGGGGTCCGTTGGATTCCCTTACCTTCAAAAGAGATGCTTTACATTTCCAGCTAAGCACCTTAGGAGCTACTTCAACCCTTTCTAAACTTACGGGTACCCAGGGACCCTCTGGGGCAAGCACGCCATCTCGACATGGGGAAGGTGAAAAGGGTGCCAAGAAGAAGCACACATATGCATATCTGTATTGCAATATATATATATATATAATATACATGTCACAGCAATTCAAGAGATGAAATCCCGAATACGCACCAGCATGCAGAGATTGTTCCCCCCTTTCCCAGGCCTCTTTACCGCCCTGCGGCTTTTGGCGTCCCAGCCCCCCCGGTCTCTGGCCCCATCGCATGCCGCGGCGCATGTCATCAGGATGCAGCAGCCTGAGGCGACCGCCGATTTGTCTTTTGATGCTAAAAGGGAAAACCTCCAGTCCAAAAACCTTGAGACTCACACATTTTTTTGACTTAACCCAATTGGGGTCCCTAGAGGTTGCCTAGGTTCGCATGCGGGACCAAAGAAATGCTCATGGCTCGCGAAAAACGCAGAATCCCTATGACTTAGCTAAATTCGAGAGTCATGAAAGAGCCTTCCATGACGCCATGATAGGGGGCTACCGTATGTGTACCGTGGGGTGCGCGTACAGTGCGCGAGCGGTACGCGTACGGTGCGCGTACGGTGCGCGTACGGTGCGCGTACGGTGCGCGTACGTCGTGCGCAGTGTGCGCGCGGCGCACGTGTGATCCGCGTATGGGGTGCGTGTACAGAGCGCGCGCGACGCACGTACGACATGCGCTCGGTGCACGTGCAGTGCGCGCGCGCGGTTTGCGCAACATGTGTGCGACATTTGGGCGGCGCGCGCGCGATGCGCGCCCGACGCGTGCGCAAGCGCAGTGCGTGTTTGTGCCGGCGCGCAGCACGCTGGTTGCGGGGTACTTCGGCGAAACACACACACAAAGACTTTGCGGCAGAAGTGCGCGGGTGTGTGTCGAGATGTGTTGCGTTTCTTTTTCAATATCTGAGTTGTCTTTCCCAAATACGATGCGTTTATTCGAGTTTTCATGCGCAGCTGCGCACGCAACCGCTCGAGTGTCAATTAAAAACTGCACGTGTTACACGAGTGCATGAACTAAAAGTTGAACACATATCGCGATTGATTGACATATATCATTTGGCGCGTGTTTCTGCTCACGTGCTGGTCGGCTGCCATCATCCCCAGCAAAAAGCAAGCAGAACTTGTGCGCCACAAGACCACACTCCATTGGTGTTGGAGTGAATGCCAAAAAGCCATATGTAGCCCTCATCCCTTGCCATGAAGCCCAAATCCATGGCTGTGTGCTTGTCTGGCATGTGTGCAATCTTCAGCAAGGACCGCGCGCGCCGCCGCGCACCGCTCGCACACCACTCGCTCATTGCACGCTGGTTGCGCGCGCGACGCGCGCACGCCGCCCGCGCGCACGTTGCGCACAGCGGGCGGCGCGTGACCACGCACCCTCCCCGCCACTGTCTTTTTAGGCCTGTCATAGCATGACTCTCGGGTGTAGATAACTTATGATACTTGTCTAAGCTCCCTAACCCTACCAACCTCAGGCAAGGAACCAGCGCATTTCAATACAGTAGGGACCCAGGGATTCTGAAACAGAAACAAACATTAAGTTCTTACTTCTAGGCTTTATCGTGGTTTCGCCTGGTTGACTAATATAATCGAAGTTGGGATCATTTTGTTTTCTGCAGAATCCTGCTTGATCTTCAAGGCAAATACGCTTGCCCCCGAATCAGGGTTTGCACATTCTGACGAGAGACTTGCTGAGTATGCGATTGACCTAAAGCCAGGAATTCCCTTGGGCTTGGGATTGGGTCTACCCTCTGCCTTCCGGAGGCCCGCGAGGCCAAAAGGAACTCGTTAGGAGGAAAAATGTTGGGCAAGACCCACGGTTTCCACCCCAAATGTTCATAGGTCCATCACCTTTAAACACCGAGTAAAATGATGCTTTGACCAGGCCCCACAAGTAAAATGATGATCAACATTACTTGTTTCCACAAGAACACATGGACAAATTCGAGTCTCACCCCCCCCCCCCCGCCCAACGTCTTGTCCAGACATTTAGAGCTCGTTCCCCGCCCCCAAATGGGCAATAGACTAGCAATGTTGACTGAAACCTGAGACTTCTAAACAAATCCGGCCCCGTCAACAAACAATTCATCATGACCTGTGTTTAGTTTGTTTTTTTGGTTTGTTTTTTTTTTGGGGGGGGAGATGTGTGTTTGGCGCATACAAATCAGGGGAACTGGTCCTAGGATTAGGGGTCCAGCTTGCGCTAAACGACAATGATGTTCAGCATTCGGCAACAACCCATGCAATAGAATCTACTCGACGGGTCGCCAGAATGGGAAAAACTAACAAGAACACAGCACAAACAAACCAGTAAACAAATAAGCTAATAAACAAGCAAACAATCAAACAAACAAACAAACAAAACAAACACGGAAGCTTGGCAAGCAAGGCAAGCGAGGCAAGCAAGCAAGCAAGCAAGCAAGCAAGCAAGCAAGCGAGGCAAGCAAGCAAGCAAGCAAGCAAGCAAGCAAGCAAGCAAGCAAGCAAGCAAGCAAGCAAGCAAGCAAGCAAGCAAGCGAGGCAAGCAAGCAAGCAAGCAAGCAAGCAAGCAAGCAAGCAAGCAAGCAAGCAAGCAAGCAAGCAAGCAAGCAAGCAGCAAGCAAGCAAGCAAGCAAGCAAGGAAGCAAGGAAGCAAGGAAGCAAGGAAGCAAGGAAGCAAGGAAGCAAGAAAGCAAGCAATCAAGCAAGCAAGCAAGCACAAGTAGGCAGGCAAGCACCAACGCACGCAAGCAAGCAAAACAAAAGCAAACAAACAACCGAACCCTCAAACAAACAAACAAACAAACAAACAACCAAAAAAACAAAAACCGGAAAAACAACAGAACAACATGCAAGCAAACAAGCAAACAAGCAAGCAAGCAAGCAAGCAAGCAGGCAGGCAGGCAAGTAAGCAAGCAAGCACCCACGCACGCACGCACGCAAGCAAGCAAGCAAGCAAGCACACACACCCGCAAGCAAGCGTAAGAGAAAACAACCAACCGAACCGTCAAAGCAACAAACAAATGAACAAACAAGCAAGCAAACTAAACCAAACCAAGAATCAAAGAAGCAAACAAACACACACACACAAATAGGCAAATACACAGAAGAAACCACAAACAAAAAACAGACGAACAATCTACCCTCAAAATCAGTAACGGATTTTTTCTGGCCATCTGCATTTTACTAGGGTGCCGTGCATTTTTACGAACACGTTATGTTTCAGAAGTTGAAGCCGGAACAAACTGCTATTGGAAAAGCCAATCTGCTCTCAAGCCCATGTCAGAAAAGTCTAGCAAACACAAAAAAGACGAACTACTTTGAAGCAAATTTCTAGGAATGTGGTAGTTTTCCCGTGCGTGGCGCGCCAAATCAACATTCTCCAAAAAGATTCCTCTACTCCTGAGCCCAAGAAGAGCCCACCTTTGCAGAAGCGTGCGGCCCGTTGTTTTTTGAAAACATATATATATATATATCTACTTCTGGTGTTTTTGTGGTGATCTCCTCCACTTCCCAGAAACAAACCGTTTCGTACATTTCAACTTCAAGCTGCCCAAAACATTGCAAACATTGATCTGCTCTGCGATGCTGCTGGCTGCTGAACCATGATGGGCAAAACGTTGCAAAGCATTGCCCTCCTCTGCGATCCTGATGGCTGCCGAACCATGATGGCAAAACATTGTTTTCGGCAGCCAACATGCGTCTGCAAAAACATGACTGTTCAACATGTGTCTGTTCATTCCACCCCCCACAAACCCGCTTCCCTGACATGGACACGACTGCACGTTCGGTTTTCGCTCCGTAGGCAAAAATCAGCAAACAAGCGGCATAAAAACAAGAGAACAAACAAACACAAAGCAAACCAAGCCCAAATGCAAACCCAGCCCAAACCAAGCCAAACCAAGAATTAAACAAGCAAACAAACAAAGAGTCACACAAGCAAGCAAGCAAGCAAGCAAGCCAGCAAGCAAGCAAGCAAACAAGCAAGCAAGCAAACAAACAAAAAACACACACCCACAAGCAAGCCAACAAACAAACAGCAAAAGACACATTGAAGCAAAAACAATTAATGACACAAACAATCACACAATCATTCAACCAAACAAGCAAGCAAGCAAGCAAAAACACTCAACCAAATGAACAAACAAGCAAACAAACCAACCCAAAGCAACAGTTTAAAAAAAGCAAGCAGGCAAGCAAACAAACAGCTAGCAAACAAACAAGCAAGCAAATAAACAAGCAAGCAAACACACGCACACAAACAAACAAACAAACAAACAAAAAACAAACCAACATCAAATGCAAACTTAAGCAAATCAAGGCCAACAGAGTGATTCAACAAGCAAACAATCAAGCAATCAAACGCACACAAACCAACAAACAAACGAGCGAGCGAGTGAGTGGACAAGCAAGCAAGCAAGCAAGCAAGCAAGCAAGCAAGCAAGCAAGCAAGCACGTAAGGCCAAGCGAAGCAAAGAAGCAAGAAAGCAAGAAAGCAAGAAAGCAAGCGAGCAAGCGAGCAAGCGAGCAAGCAAGCAAGCAAGCACGTACTGCCAAGCGAAGCAAACAAGGAAGACAGCAAGAAAGCAAGCGAGCAAGCAAGAAAGCAAGCACGCAAGCAAGCACGTACGGCCAAGCGAAGCAAAGAAGCAAGAAAGCAAAAAAGCAAGCGAGCAAGCAAGCAAGAAAGCAAGAAAGCAAGCAAGCAAGCACGTAGGGCCAAGCGAAGCAAAGAAGCAAGAGAGCAAGAAAGCAAGCAAGCAAGCAAGCAAGCAAGCAAGGAAGGAAGCAAGCAAGCAAGCAAGCAAGGAAACAAGCAAGCGAGCGAGCAAGCAAGCAAGCAAGCACGTAGGGCCAAGCGAAGCAAAGAAGCAAGAAAGCAAGCAAGCAAGCACGTAGGGCCAAGCGAAGCAAAGAAGCAAGAAAGCAAGAAAGCAGGCACGTAAGGCCAAGCGAAGCAAAGATGCAAGAAAGCAAGAAAGCAAGCGAGCAAGCGAGCAAGCGAGCAAGCAAGCAAGCAATCACGTAAGGCCAAGCGAAGCAAAGATGCAAGAAAGCAAGCAAGCAAGCAGCCAAGCAAAGCAAAAAAGCAAGAAAGCAAAAAAACAAGAAAGCAAGAAAGCAAGAAAGCAAGAAAGCAAGCGAGCAAGCGAGCAAGCAAGCAAGGAAGGAAGCAAGCAAGCAAGCAAGCAAGCACGTAAGGCCAAGCAAAGCAAAGAAGCAAGAAAGCAAGAAAGCAGGCACGTAAGGCCAAGCGTAGCAAAGATGCAAGAAAGCAAGAAAGCAAGCGAGCAAGCGAACAAGCAAGCAAGCACGTAAGGCCAAGCGAAGCAAAGATGCAAGAAAGCAAGAAGGCAAGCAAGCAAGCAAGCACGTACGGCCAAGCGAAGCAAAGAAGCAAGAAAGCAAGAAAGCAAGCAAGCAAGCAATCAAGCAAGCAAGGAAGCAAGCAAGCAAGCAAGCACGTAAGGCCAAGCGAAGTAAAGAAGCAAGAAAGCAAGAAAGCAAGAAAGCAAGCAAGCAAGCAAGCAAGGAAGCAAGCAAGCAAGCAAGCAAGCAAGCAAGCAAGCAAGCAAGCAAGCACGTAGGGCCAAGCGAAGCAAAGAAGCAAGAAAGCAAGAAAGCAAGCAAGCAAGCAATCAAGCAAGCAAGGAAGCAAGCAAGCAAGCAAGCACGTAAGGCCAAGCGAAGTAAAGAAGCAAGAAAGCAAGAAAGCAAGAAAGCAAGCAAGCAAGCAAGCAAGGAAGCAAGCAAGCAAGCAAGCAAGCAAGCAAGCAAGCAAGCAAGCAAGCAGCAAGCAAAAGAAGCAAGAGAAAGCAAGCAAGCAAGCAATCAGCAAGCAAACAGAAAAGCAAACAAGCAAGCACAGCCAAGCAAGCAAGCAACAGCAAGCAAGCAAGCAAGCAATCAAGCAAGCAAGCAAGCAAGCAAGCAAGCAAGCACGTAGGGCCAAGCGAAGCAAAGAAGCAAGAAAGCAAGAAAGCAAGCAAGCAAGCAATCAAGCAAGCAAGCAAGGAAGCAAGCAAGCAAGCAAGCACGTAAGGCCAAGCGAAGCAAAGAAGCAAGAAAGCAAGAAAGCAAGCAAGCAAGCAATCAAGCAAGCAAGCAAGCAAGCAAGGAAGGAAGCAAGCAAGCAAGCAAGCAATCAAGCAAGGAAGCAAGAAAGCAAACACGTAAGGCCAAGCGAAGCAAAGAAGCAAGAAAGCAAGAAAGCAAGCAAGCAAGCAATCAAGCAAGCAAGCAAGGAAGCAAGCAAGCAAGCAAGCAAGCAAGCACGTAGGGCCAAGCGAAGCAAAGAAGCAAGAAAGCAAGAAAGCAAGCAAGCAAGCAAGCAAGCAAGGGAGGAAGCAAGCAAGCAAGCAAGCAAGCAATCAAGCAAGCAAGCGAGCAAGCAAGCAAGCACGTAAGGCCAAGCAAAGCCAAGAAGCAAGAAAGCAAGAAAGCAAGAAAGCAAGAAATCAAGCAAGCAAGCAAGCAAGCAAGCAAGGAAGCAAGCAAGCAAGCAAGCAAACAAGCAAGCAAGCAAGGAAGCAAGCAAGCAAGCAAGCAAGCACGTAGGGCCAAGCGAAGCAAAGAAGCAAAGAAGCAAGAAAGCAAGCAAGCAAGCAATCAAGCAAGCAAGCAAGGAAGCAAGCAAGCAAGCACGCAAGGCCAAGCGAAGCAAAGAAGCAAGAAAGCAAGCAAGAAAGCAAGCAAGCAAGCAATCAAGCAAGCAAGAAAGCAAGGAAGGAAGCAAGCAAGCAAGCAATCAAGCAAGCAAGCAAGGAAGCAAGCAAGCAAGCAAGCACGTAAGGCCAAGCGAAGCAAAGAAGCAAGAAAGCAAGAAAGCAAGCAAGCAAGCAATCAAGCAAGCACGTAGGGCCAAGCGAAGCAAAAACGCAAGAAAGCAAGAAAGCAAGCAAGCAAGCAAGCACGTAAGGCCAAGCGAAGCAAAGAAGCAAGAAAGCAAGAAAGCAAGCACGTAGGGCCAAGCGAAGCAAAGAAGCAAGAAAGCAAGCAAGTAAGCACGTAAGCCAAGCGAAGCAAAGAAGCTAAAGCCAGCAAGCAAGCACGTAGGGCCAAGCGAACAAAGAAGCAAGAAAGCAAGCAAGCACGTAAGGCCAAGCGAAGCAAAGAAGCAAGAAATCAAGCAAGCACGTAAGGCCAAGCGAAGCAAAGAAGCAAGAAAGCAAGCAAGCACGTAAGGCCAAGCGAAGCAAAGAAGCAAGAAAGCAAGCAAGCACGTAAGGCCAAGCGAAGCAAAGAAGCAAGAAAGCAAGAAAGCACGTAAGGCCAAGCGAAGCAAAGAAGCAAGAAAGCAAGCAAGCACGTAAGGCCAAGCGAAGCAAAGAAGCAAGAAAGCAAGCAAGCACGTAAGACCAAGCGAAGCAAAGAAGCAAGAAAGCAAGCAAGCACGTAAGGCCAAGCGAAGCAAGAAGGCAGAAAGCAAGAACGCACGTAAGGCCAAGCGAAGCAAAGAAGCAAGAAAGCAAGCAAGCACGTAAGGCAAGCGAAGCAAAGAAGCAAGAAAGCAAGAAAGCACGTAAGGCCAAGCGAAGCAAAGAAGCAAGAAAGCAAAGCAAGCACGTAAGGCCAAGCGAAGCAAAGAAGCAAGAAAGCAAGCAAGCCCGTAAGGCCAAGCGAAGCAAAGAAGCAAGAAAGCAAGCAAGCAAGCAAGTAGGGCCAAGCGAAGCAAAGAAGCAAGAAAGCAAGCAAGCACGTAAGGCCAAGCGAAGCAAAGAAGCAAGAAAGCAAGAAAGCACGTAAGGCCAAGCGAAGCA